AGAAAAAAGAAAAAAAAGAAAAAAAATTTAGGGATCTACTCAAACAAGTTTCTCACTCTCCTGTGAGTATTTCAACCTTCCAGGTTTACATGCAGGTTAGTCAGATACTCGCTCCAAAATTGTTCCAGATTGTCAATTAGGGTTTTCAACTTTATGCATTATCTCTAAATAGCAATGTTTGAGTACGATTTTCATGTTGCCGTGTTGATTTTCTTTTTTCTTTTTTTTTGGTTTTATTTGTTTACCTCTGCATATAGTAAGTTTCCCCCTCTCTCTCCCCTTTTTTTCTGGTTTGGGAATCGAGAGCTGTGGCATTGTTTAAAATTGGGTTCTGGTTTTATTAGTTCATTTTTAATCTGTATGTTTGCCAAAAAAAAAAAAAAATGGTACTTTAGTTTTTCATGTTAATTTTGTGGATTGAGGCAATCAATGACAAATTGATTGTGATTTTATACACCTAACCCTCGAAGAGCAAAAAGAAATGATTATATTTTGCTATTTCGATTGGGGGAAGAGGTTTAGTTCTGAGTTATTTTACCCAGTCTTACTGTTGGGAAAAGGGCTAGGTGAAGGCACAACGCTGGGTTGGGTTAAATAACAATGCCTAGGTATGGCGCTCGGCCTAGTTAGTGAGGACCAACACAGCTAACTTCTTGTTTGTAAAAGGCCTGGTTTCTAGAATGAGTTTGTTCACGTAATCAGCAGAATCGTTTTTGTTATGGAGCCAATTTTTTTAGCCCTGCGCCTCCAAAAGGGACTATTCTGTTAAACATCTGTTTGATGTACCATTAGTAATATGTAGTCCAGGGGTGAAATTCTAGCGTATTGGGGAATGGTAGGACTGGATCTTTCTCTGGTGGAGCTAGCTAGTGGGAGATTGGATGAGGCAAGAGGGGACTTTATTAGAGTTTTCTGGCTCATTGACTAAGTAAGCGTTCATGAAGGGTATTTAGCATTTTTCCCAACACACTTCTAGTATTCATTTGGTATGGTTTATTGGATACTTATCCTTGACAAGGGATAACTGGAACTAGATTATTTATTGGATGCTTATTCTTTGCTAAGGTGAGCTGTTTTTTCATTTTGTGCTCATGATGTTATTGCTTTATATATTGTAATGCTTGATTTTTTGTCCAATGAATAAGTGCAGTGCTTGATATTGGCATTTGATCTAATTGAGTTTTGCTTCTTTTTTTGGTATTTTTAGCTGGAGGGATGGCAAATGATAGTCAGTCTAGTCGTAAAACTAAGACAACCCCAAGCTCTTCAACTTCAAGTGCACGGAAGTCTAAGCGTCTTGAGAAGAAAAATCCAACAACCACTCTTTCAAGTGCTCGGAAGTCTAAGCGTCTTGAGAAGAAAAATCCAACAACTACTCCGGTCAGGAAATCTGAGAGAATTGAGAAGCAAAAGAATCCAAGTCCTTTGAGGAGGTCTACTAGGGGTAAAATGCTTTCCTCATCTGGTGCTTCTGGATCAAAGATGTCTTATAAAATCTCAGATTTGTCAAATATGAAAAGGACAATGGAGAAAAAGGAGAAAAAGGAAAAGTGCGTTAAACGGTTGACATTCGAAACAAAACACGTTGACAAAAATGAGAATCCAAATGAGGAACCTGTTAAGGTCAACGAGACAAGGATGGATGCTCGTCGTTATAAGGAATTGTTCAAGAAACTAAAAAAGAGGGTGAATGTGCCTGGTAACATCTTTGTTTGTTCTCCTCTTTTCATTCTCTTATCATTCTCTTATCATTCTTTAATAAAATCATAATCACTTTCAACAGTGTAATGGACCGCTATGCATTCAGCTTTTCCAATATTATGCTTATTACTGTCACTTATTGAAGCTTCTCTTGTTTATTTGCTTATGCAGATTTTTGTTTCCATAAGATATTGCTTTATTTTTTAGTTTTATTTTAGTATGTCACTTGACAGTTTTCTGCTTATTGCAGATTACTGTGAGGAACCAAACAAGATTCTATCAAACAGTAATGGAGGAGACAGTGGTTCCAATCAAGTTGATGATGGGATTAAGTTGATTGAAAGGCAAGATAGAGATCTTGTGGAAGATTTTACTGCAAAATCTGGTCGAAGAGCATCAGAATCTAATGTGAACCAATCTCCTAAGAAGACTTTGGAAGATAGTGATGGACATGAGTCGTCTTCCACAAGCCTGAAACATGGTCATAGGGAATCTTCTAAGAAGACTTTGGCAGATAGTGTTAGACATGAGTTGTCTACAACAAGCCTGATGCATGTTAATTCAGTCGAAGATTATGTATCCTTACATAGAGACAGTTTGCATGTTTTGGCAAATGAATTTGTGGCCAAGGAGACAAGTGAAGATGAAGTGCTGGAGAATATCCAAACCCCAACCTCAGCAGATTCTACATTGAATGAAAGGATCCTTGATTGTGATATCAGTTTGGAAACGGGCCACATGCTTTCTAAGAGAAAAAGGGACACTGTAGACATGGTTTCTGATGCTCCCCTCATGGTTGGATGCAAAGATATGTGCACCTCTATGGCTGATTCAGTCACTCTGTTGCCATCCAACTGCAAAGGCAAAGATTTTGTTGAGATGTGCCACGCATGTTTTAAAAAACAAAGGTGCTATATACCTGCCTGTTCATTTATTTTTCAGTTGCCTTGTTGATGTTTTAACTGATGATGAAAGATGTTGGTTTGTGCTTTGTGGTGGAGGGCTGTTGTTTATAAAATATACAATAATTTGGAGAAAATAGTTCTTTCATTGCTACCTGTGTGCTCATATCCACATTTTGTTTTAATGTAGTTTGGTGAATCTAGAGAAAAGTGTAGATTATGATAAAGTTGATTGCAACATCTGATATCTGTTTTAGATTTTTACTTGCTAAATTATTCAGCAGTATAATGTTGATCATGTTTACTTGTAATTCAATGTTTGCCTAAGGGAAGATTTTCAATGAAAATAATAAATTGGACTTGCATACACTTGTAGGATGGGGCTTGACTCATTGACGCAGGTGAATTGCTCTTGTGAAACACAGTCAGACAACTTGTTTGACTCTCCTGCTAAGGTTGATATTTTTCCCCTTTAGCTCTTTCTTCAATATTTTGCTTTTTCTTCAATGTGAACTTGCCTTGCCTGAACATTATCGTGTTTGGTAAATGAGGCTTGTGTTGCCCCCCTCTGATTTGGCTGTAGCTTTCAATTAGTGTGAATATCTTAATCATAGCATCCCATTTGACTCTCCTGCTAAGGTTGATATTTTCCCCTTTAGCTCTTTCTTTAATATTTTGTTTTTTCTTCAATGTGAACTTGTCTTGCCTGAACATTGTGCTTGGTAAATGAGGCTTGTGTTTCCCCCACTGATCTGGCTATAGCTTTCAATTAGTGTGAATATCTTAATCATAGCATGCCATTTGACTCTCCCGCTAAGGTTGATATTTTCCCCTTTAGCTCTTTAATATTTTGCTTTTTCTTCAATGTGAACTTGTCTTGCCTGAACATCATTGTGTTTGGTAAATGAGGCCTAAGGTTGATATTTTCCCCTTTAGCTCTTTAATATTTTGCTTTTTCTTCAATGTGAACTTGTCTTGCCTGAACATCATTGTGTTTGGTAAATGAGGCTTGTGTTTTCCTCCTCTGATCTGGCTGTAGTTTTCAACTAGTGTGAATATCTTAATCATAGCATGTCATGCCTCTATTGTAGTTAATTTGTTTTGGAAATGACCAGACTCCCTTTGAAATTGATCTTTAAATCTGCATTGTATTGGCAACCTGCTGCTCATATATTTGGAGTAGCTCTAAATTTATAGATATGAGGCTGTACCTAGAGAGGTCCTTTGAGTTGCATGTCTCATTGTGTGCCTGCTCACTCGTGTTTATCAAATCTCATGCTGCTTGTTGATTGCACTTGGAGTCTAGGTGAATCCTTTATTGTCTCAGCTGTGAAATTTGATTTTTGTTACCCCATGTTGGACGGGATGCAGTATTACTACTTGTAGAAAAATACCACTCCAAGTTTACAATGTACCTTGCATACCTAACGGCACTAGATGTGGCAGTTGGACACTCCTAAAGATATTGAAGAACCTTATGAAAAATTGAGCATACTTGTATGTGTTGAACATGGCTATCAATTGAGTCTATTTAATGTAGCATGCAGAACTTCCTCTATATTTTTTATGTTCTCTATAAGAGAAAATATAATAAAAGAGCCTTGATGTTATTTAGTTGTTTTCCTATTCCTCTTGTTTCTTATTGCAAATGAAAAGTTAAATTTGCCAAACAAAAAGAGAAATGAAATTTAATTTTTTTTCTATTGTTTATTTGTTTACTTTTGGGCAGACATTTAACAAAAAAGATTTTGAAAATAAAAGCTTACAATTATTAGATGGATGAAAAGGAGTGTTTTTGTTTTTATTTATAATTTGCAACATTTTGGTTGCCACCTGCACTGCATCTTCATGTGCATTCCTTGAAATTATCGACAATGCTATTGTTACAATGCCATGTAAGATTATAAGCTTGCAATCATGATGTTTTATTAAATGAGTGGATGCATACGATATCACAAGTGGATCCCTATGTGAAAAGAGCCAATTGTATAACAATACATCATGTTGTAAGTTTATAATACCATGTGACGTTGTAATTATATCATTTTTCTAAATTCAGCTCTCTAAGTTGAATATTTTGGTAACTTATTTTTTGTCTCTCTCTCCCTCTTTCTTTTTGTGTGCTTGTTCAAGGATCATGCTGGTTCTCCTTTAAGGTCTTATTACTCTTTATTACTGATGGTTCTATATGCTTATAACCTCTGCACATTTTTCCTAAATAGCTCATTGAAGTTAATTCAAACAAAAATATTGGTAATTTGAAGGAGACATTGGCTAAGCATGTAGCTAATGAGTGCAAGTCAGAATCCTCAAGGTTTATAGAGTACTGGGTTCCTGTACAAATATCAAGTGTACAGCTTGAGCAGTATTGTGCTACTCTACTTGAAAATGCTTTATCTCTTTGCTCGCCTTCAAGGAGTGACCCTGTTGGTGTTCTTCGTAATACTCTTATCTCTATCCGAAAGGTTGGTTTTTCTGGACTTTCGTTCAACTACATTATTGTTTGAGATTTAAATGCCAATTATTTGTATGAAATCTTGACCTTTCATCATGTTGTTAAATTTCATAAAAGCATTTGTATTGCATAATTTTATATACCAAAGTAGTTTCCATGTCCCTTGTTGCCTTGAGGTAGACTCCTAATAGAAAGTTGGAACATTTGGGATTTACCAGTGAAAGCTGTTTGACATTAATAATTTCAAAAGTCAGGAGGCATTAGCAAATTTAGGAATTTAATGTAATCCATATGTTGTTTAAATAACTTAACTTTATTTTGCACATTCAATTATCATGTTTCCTGATCTGCAGTCCTGGTTATGTTGGATAAATTTCAGTTGAACTTCTTTTCCTCTGTGTTACTGTTACAATGTTAGAATGATGGATTAGTGTCTAAAAAGTTAAAAAAAAAAAAAAAATCATTCTACTTTGGGCTTAATATTCTTCCCATGGTAATTCTTGGCAGTGCTGTGATCATCCTTATCTTGTGGATCAATCACTTCAAATGTTGCTCACTAAAGATCTAAAATTGGTTGAGTACTTGGATGTTGGAATAAAAGCTAGTGGCAAACTACAAATTCTTGAGGCAATGCTTTTGGAGACAAAGAAACAAGGTTTGAGAGCACTCATTCTTTTCCAGGTACATTTTCTGTACAATTTTTATGTTTGATTATGGCTTAGTTTTATTATTGTTTACTGTTATCACTTTCTGGATGATAAAGTCCTTGTAATTTATTTTTTATTTTTTGGGTTTCTGATATCTACTTGCTTGAGTTGTTATTAAACTAGATTTCAGGCATGAACCCTAATATGTTAAATAACTAAGAGTTTTAATTGATGTTCAATGATTACTTTTGAGAAATAATTGACTTTTAGACACTAATCCATGTAAGGGTTAACTAAGCTAAGTTGTGAAAAAAGCTGAGCAGGTTTGGCTTGAGAGCTGCCAGGAAAGTTTGTTTGCAGAATTTTTTTGTTTATTAGCCTGATCTGCCATTAATATTATAGAATGGTGGAAGATTATCATCACTTGATGACATTTGTGTTTGAGTTATGAGATGTTGACCGTTTTAGTTTATTTTAATGCATTCCTTTGTTGGATATCATCACATCCCATAAATGATCAGAATCTTGATGCATGTCCATAATGAATGTCAATACAAGTAGCCTAGTCCCTTTGTGACAATATTTTTAGGTTCTAGGAAGCTAGTGCAGTTAAGGTCATCATGTCATTTAATGCCTGCTTTTGGCTTTTACTCAAATTCTTATGTTGCACATCCAATAATGGAATGGAATAAAAACAGTTGCTGCTTTTAGTGATGTTTTTCAATCCAGATTGCGTAAAACATTTCTCTGCTGTGTGTATAGCTGCCTGCATGAGCACTTTTACTTTTGGGTTTCTATTTTATTTGTTTCTTTCCTTTGAACCTGTGGTGTGGTTATTTTATAATTTGATGTAGATTGGTGGTTCTGGAAGAGATGCAATTGGAGACATTATAGATGACTTTCTGCGTCAAAGATTTGGTCAAGATTCTTATGAACGTATTGACTCTGGTTTAGTCCATTCAAAGAAGCAATCTGCTCTGAACAAGTTCAATAAGGAGAATGGTAGATTTGTTTTTTTATTAGAAACCCGTGCATGTCTTCCCAGCATCAAATTGTCATCAGTTGATATTGTTATTATGTTCAATAGTGACTGGAACCCAATGAATGATCTAAGAGCCCTGCAGAGGATAACACTGGATTCACAGTTTGAGCAGATAATGATCTTTCGTTTGTATTCAGCATTTACTGTTGAAGAAAAGGTTTTGATCCTTTCAAAACAAGAAAAGATTCTTGATAGCATACATAGCATAAACCCTAGCACTAGTCAGACACTGCTTATGTGGGGGGCTTCATACCTCTTTAATAAATTGAATGAGTTCCACGATGGCAGTGCCCAAGCATTTGATACTACTATATTGTTTGAGCAATCGCATTTGGAAGAAGTGCTTCAAGAGTTCTTGATCATAGTGACTCAAAATAGGGAAGACAGTGATTTGAGCAAGTTGTCTCTAATATTGCATGCAACACCTCAGGTAACTTACAGAACAGATTTTCCATTGTTTGGTGAGCAGAAAATTCAAGTGATAGATGAAGATCCACCTTTTATGTTTTGGACAAAACTGTTGAATGGAAAGTATCCACAGTGGAAGTATTCTTCCAATTCATCTCAAAGGAATAGGAAAAGGGCATCAGTGCATCATTTTGATGATTTTCAAGAGAAACCTGAAGCTGAGAGTGGTGAAGGTATAAAGAAGCGCAAGAAAGTAGGCAATGAGTTTGTTGATTCCCCCTTTCTAAAAACTGGTTCTGAGGGGCAAATGGTTGGTCAGATGAAGGAAGGTAAATGACCTATATAATCATATGTTTGTAATAATCATCCACTTCCCCTGCAAGTTTCATATAGATTTGCCAAAGCTTAGTTAGACAGAATTCCACCTTTCATGACTCCATATAATTCACTATTATAAGGTTTCACCTGTTTCCTGCAGGAATCTCTGGAACTCCAGGGCCTAATTTATCTCATTCTATGGGTAGATCAACTGCATTGGTGAATGATAAAAGTCAGGGTTGCCATACTTCTAACTCACATCATCTGGCAGCTAGTCACATCGCAAAAATACCAGGAGTTAACATCGTTGAATGTGAGAAACGAAGAAAACTGCGTGATTCACAAAAGAGTCTTCATGCTCTTTTGAAGCCAGATATAGCAAAGCTTTCTGAAGTTTTACATCTGCCAGTATATATCTAATTTCATTTCCCTCCTGTGAAATTAGTTTCTAAGTTAGTACTTACTCATATAGGTTCTGCTAGTTATTTTATCTCTGACAATCAGTAAGGTCCTTTTTGATAGAGTGATTGCTGCAGGCTTGTTAATTTGAATCAGCTATGCATAGCAGTCTTGTCTTGTATTGTTCTCATAGACTTTGCTCTTGTTACAGGAAAATGTTAGGGCCATGGTTGAAAGTTTCCTTGAATATATCATGAATAACCATCATGTCACTAGAGAACCGACAGCCATATTGCAGGCTTTTCAGATATCTCTGGTTAGAACCTCTGTTATGTACATATTTTGTTATCCAGGTGTTGATGATGATATTTCTTATTTTTGTCACTCCTTAATGAAGAAGCATATGCAGATACTTATGGTTCATTTCATTAATTCTTAGGTTATTGTTTTATTTATGTCTATTCCCATAAGAATGCTTTTATATATTCTGCCACTGCATATAACTATTTTTTGACATTTCTAATTGTGCTGGAATGCTGATTTACCTTTTGAGGATTCTAATTGTTTGCTTTGATAATGCATGGGGCATATGTGTGCATATAGATATCTGCTGATAATTTGATATTCTCAATATCCAATGCCTAACCCATCTGGTCTGTCTAAATGCAGTGTTGGACTGCAGCTGCTTTGCTAAAGCACAAAATCAATCATAAAGTTTCCCTTGAACTTGCACAACAGCATCTCAATTTTGGCTGCAAGAAAGAACAGGCAGACTATGTTTATTCATTGTTGCAGTGTCTGAAGAAAATGTTTCTGTACCACTCAGGGAAATTAAAGGCCCCAAACCCTCCCAAAGCTTCAGATCTGTCAACCAAATGTATTGGCAGTGAAGCCTGTAACCAGCAGGGAGTGAAAGACTTGAAGGTTTCTGAGTCCTCTGAGAAACAGGCCCTAATTTCTCAGTCAGAATTGGCCCTAGAAGTGCAGGAAGATCTTCTAAAAAGTATAGAAGAAATTCAGAAAAAATGTGATAAACAGATGAAAAAAATTCTCCAGAGACAAAAGGAAGAAATGGCAAATTTTGAGAAAAAGTATGAAGAAGAAAAGGTAGAACTTGAGAATAAAAGGGAAATGGAGGCAGCTGTTGTTCGTTTGCATAGTACCAAAATGACGAAATCTGACAAGCTTAAGAAATTGGATGATGAATATGCAAAAAAGATTGATGAGCTTGAAAGGCAGAGGGATATACACCTTAAAAGTCTTGAGGACATGCAGGTAGCAACAAGGAACAAGGTTCGTCAGCGAAAGGAATTGTGGGTGGAATTAGTTAAATCATGGGCTCAGAATGAATTAGGATTAGCTGGGTGCAAGACAGCCATCTCTGCTGGCCATGATGTTGCTGTTGAAGGTATGCCCAATGGGGAGATTGGACAGGACATTCCTGCAAGTTTAAGAGATAATCTCGACAATGCCCTTTCCGTGAGACATTTGCCACAAGATCAGATTTGTGACAGATCTATGTTAAACATGCCTGATACAAATAGGTTGCCTGAGGCTGTCATTTCTGGTGGTGGTCCAGAGAAGGTTGACTCTGAAAAAATGTCTTCATCTAGAGAGCAAGTTCCTGATGGAAGCACATTACGCAGGGCCAGTGGAGAAGTTCCCTTGGGGGCATCTGAGGTTGTTGGTGAAACTGAAGGTCATAAAGACATCCCCTTAGTAACTCCCTCATTTTCTGGAGACCAGAATCCTGATGGAGCAACATCTACTGTGCCTTATGGAGAGGCTTTGCCGAGCACACCTGAGATTGTCAGTTCCAGTGATGGTCTGCTGAATGTTCTCCCCATGAATCTTGCTTCATTGAAGGAAAAGATTCTTGATGTATCTGGCTCCTACATTCCTGATGATGTTCCATTGGGGGCAGAGTCTGAAACCGCTCCTGGTAATGTAGAGGAGGGTGATAATATCTCCACAAGGCACTCATTAACCATGCCAGATGGCGAGGTACCAGCAAGCACACCTGAGGTTGCCATTTCTAGTGACACTCCAGATAATGTTGTTTCTGTGAATCACTCTTCAGCAGAAGAACAAATGCCTGATGTTGCACCATGCATTCCTAATGGTAAGGTTCCTTTGTCTGAATCCCACTTTGCTCCTATGGAGTTACAAGATGGCGATAACGCTAGTGGAGAGAATGATGGTGTAAGTGATAACTTCCCCATCAGGAACTCTTTGAGCATTCCAGATGGGGACGTTGAAGCACGTGCACCTGCGGTAACTGCATTTTGTGTGTTTGATAGAGATATCCCATTGTCAGATCCTGAATCAGCTACTAGGGAAGTACGAGAAGGTGGAAATGCTGAGAAAGAGAATAATGTTGCCATAGGAGTTGACCAGCAGGATGGTATGGTCTCTTCTGTCAATCAGGAACCTCCGTTCCCAGAAGCATCTATGGTTGCTTCATCTTGCATTTCTGATCCATTGTCAGACCCTGAATCTGCTACTAGGGAAATACCAGAGGGTGGAAATTCTGAGAGAGAGAATAATACCGCCATTGGAGTTGACCAGCAGTATGGTATTGATATGGCATGTTCTGTCAATCAGGAACCTCAATTCCCAAAAGCATCCCTGACAGATTCTTTCCAAACACAGCACGCACCTGCCTTGGCCCAGTGTAACCCATTGCGTTTGAATCAGGTTTTTGTGATATTATTATCATGATGTATTATTTCTCATATGAGGGTTCCTTTGTTGGAAGTTCCTACAGATAACATTTAAGAATTTGTCCTGAGAAAATTTAAAGGCAAAGGTGAAAAGTAGGAAAATATAGCTTTTCCAATCTACTAATGAAGCTTTATTTGGGCAGGTTGAGCCTGGTGGACGTGCTCCTCCATCTACAGGCTCTGAATTGCAAGCTGGAGATGCAGTAAATATTCAAACACAGAGTAGTTCGCGCGTAGTTGAACCATCACCTTCTAACTCTGTTTCGAATCAGACACTTAGTCAAAACGATCTTGGTGCCCGTGTTACAGAGCTTGGAGCACTAGTGCAGCCATCGAGTTCAAGAGGGTCCCCTTCAAACCTCAATCAGTTGTATGAACTTCAACCTAGCAATCGTGGCCATCTTTCGCAGGCTCCTAGACATGTTTCAGACACAAGGACAGCATCAACCAATCACCCCATACCAGCTGCACCTGCTGTATCATCTCAAACACCTTTGCCTTATCATGATCCACTTCAAAATGAAATGGAAAGGATAAACAGAGAGGCAGAGCAAACCGTTAAGATCCATGAAGAAACGGTTAGTTTCCCATTTTGGCGTTTGCTTATCTACTGACAGTGAACTGTAGGTATCATTTGTTGAAACCTGTCTTCCTTTTTGAACAGAAGTTGCAACTGAAATCTGATTGCGACAAAGAAATAGAGGAGATTCGTAGGAAGTATGAGATTAAACTTCAGAAGGCAGAAACTGAATTTCTGCTGAAAAAAACAGAGCTTGATGCAAATCACAATAAAGTTCTCATGAACAAGATCTTGGCTGATGCTTTCAGGCTTAAAATTGTTGAAAGTAACTTTACAGGAACACTGCCAGGTGTGTAGTATTTTCTTCTTTTTCCAATAATTACAATAAAATAACAAAAGAGATAGGGAATCTGATAGATACATAAATTAGTGTACTTGATGGGTAAACTTTAGTCAAATATGAGCTGCTATGACTGGAGACTAACTCACTATAGTATGGTTTTGAATACAAGATGTATAGTTCAGTTTTGATTACTTCAGAAAACTGAAATTCTTGTAATTTGAGAGTTGAGACTGCTTAAATTTGGCAGATCTAGGTGGATAGAAAATTTATGATTCTTTGATATATAAATGTAACTACATGTCTTCATTCTTGAGTCTGAGATTTGTTTACCTTCTACCTTGGCAGAGATGGGTTCTGATTTCATGCAGCTGCTGTCTCAACTATCACCTCAGCAAATGGGGCAAAGGCCTTCTCCTGTCCCTGGGGGCACACCTCCAGCTAGCTTGCCGGCTATCATCTCACCTGCATTGAGCGTGCAAACTGCTTCCCCTCCTGTAGTAACCCCACGAGCCATGAGCCTGTCTTTGCAGGCTGGTTACAATCCATCCAAAGCTTTCTCAGGCACTCCACCAAGGCCCCCTCCCCACATCAGTTCCATCACTCCATCCACTGGAAACCTCCAAATTGGTAGTGAAATCCGTTCTCCTGCTCCACATCTACATCCTTTCAGACCTTCGATGTCAATGCCCCGTGGTATTCTCCCATCTCTTTCTCGGGGAGTGCCCATACAGCAGGGACATAGGAACTCCCTGACGCCCAGAATGGCACCGACTGTCAGCCAACCTGGTAGAGCTCACATCCCAGCCACATCTGGAGGGTTGCCTAAATTACCCAACCCTTCTGTATTAAATTCGATATTCAATGCCACGAATCTTTCCATTGCAAATCCCGATCCCCCTAATACCTCACCCTTGGACATTGGTTCAAACCTTACCACACCAGTCCAGCTCCAGCCTAGCACGCCAGGTATGCGGTCTAGCACAACACGGCCCAGTGCAGCGCCTGGCGTTGTTTATTTATCTGATGATGACTAACTATTTTGAAAATCTGCATACTTAATAGCCATATGTGAAGAGCCAATTTTGTTAAACTTCTGCTGCAGAGTTCTTCAGCTTTTGTATCAAAAAAAAAAAAAAAAAAAGTTCTTCAGCTCCATACCTTGTGGGAGGGAAATGCAGTAGCTGACTATTTTGCTGAGGCTGGTCACACTTACGCGCAAGGAACTACTGTTCTTCATTCTTTTATATTAGCAGACGCTATGGCAATTGCTTCCCCAGGATTTAGAGCATGGTTTCTGACTGATGTATTAAAAAAAAAAAAGAAGGGAGTTCTTCCACTTTTTATTTTTTATAGGGCTTCTGAAATGGCTAATGCAAGGTCAGAAATTGTAATTTAAGTTCGCGAGGAACCTTTGGCATTGTGTATATAGTTAAATGATATATATACTAATCCGTAATAATCATTAATTTTTTGTTTTATTTTTGCAGTTCATAATTATTGGACATTTATTAGTTTCAAATCAAGGTGAGCCAAAGATAGGGATGAAAATGGAGTGGACCGAGCGAGCCATGATGACTATTGGATATTTTTATTAGTCACCAGGATTTCCATCCTTCTTAATGCTCTTCCAAGACCCTTTTTTTCTGGAATCACAGGGATAGAATTGAGTGGCGAACAAGAAATAACATTTGTTACATTTCTTGCTGTACATAAATTCATCAAAATACGAACTACCAACAAATATAGATATGAAAATATGCATATAGAAAAACATACAGCGATGCTGCAAACCTTGGATTATTCCTTCTTTTGTCTGTTGTTTTAACAAAGTGGTAGAGGAGTTCCATCCCATTCCTTGAGACATTCAAGCAATGGATCAATCACCTTCCCCTCACAGAGAGCAACAAACACCTTATCACATTCCTCCCCTGGCGACCTTTCCTTCTCTCCAGTCAAAAACTCTGTCCCCAAGCTTTCCCTCACAAACCTGTACAGAGGATAGGATCTGCACGCCTGAATCCTGTTTGGAATTGCTGGATTTCCACTCTCAAAACAAATTCTTGCAGTTTCAACTTCCTTGGGCAAAAGGGCCTTCATCTCCTCCTCAAAAGCACCAATCTTTTGGAAGATTGAAGCATCATTGTTCACCAACGCATGTTCTACCAAAACTCCTCTCAGTTTTTGCATCAAGGGATAAGTTTCGCTGCAGGGATCATCAATGTAGGCAAAGACATGCTCACGATCAACCACTTTCAGCAGATCCAATTCGCAGAATCTTGATGGATGAAGCTCCCCGTTGAGACCTGTGGTTAGAACTTTCTTGGCTACCTGACTAACTGAGTTTTTAACTGTGGCCTTTAGGTTTTCCTCCAGGTGCCTCAAGTCTATTGCCTGGCAAAGTGCAATCAAGTATGTTGAGGACATCAGCTTCAGGATATCAACAGCTTCAGCTGTTTTCCGGGCTGAGATTAGTCCCAGGGAGTTCACGTCCTGGTTGTGCTGCTCGGCACTTTGGACATGGTTGGTGACAGGATTTGCTAGGAACTGGAGTTCAGAGCAGTAGGCTGCCATGGCTATCTCCGCGCCCTTAAATCCATAATCCAAGCTGGGATTCCTCCCACCTGAGAGATTTGAAGGCAACCCATTGTTGTAGAAATCATTAACAAGTTCAGAGAACTGGGCAAACATGAGTTTCCCAATTGAGGCAATAGCCAGCCTTGTGTTATCCATAGAAACACCAATTGGAGTACCCTGGAAATTGCCCCCATGTAAGGCCTTGTTCCTGGAAACATCAATCAATGGATTGTCATTCACCGAGTTGATTTCCCTCTCAATGGACTTGGTAGCTGACCGGATTACTTCGATTTGAGGCCCGAGCCATTGCGGGGAAGTACGGAGAGCATAGCGGTCTTGCTTAGGCTTCTGTAAGGGGTCCATTTCATGTAATTTTTTAGCTGCCTTAACATAGGAACTTCCATCCAGAATGTGTTCCATGATAGCCGCAGCCTCAATCTGACCTGGATGATGCTTCAACTTATGTGTTAAATGATCTGTAAACTCAGGTTTCCCTTGCATGACTTCCGCAAATATGGCTGATAGAACTTCGGATAGGACAGTCAAAATGTTAGCTTCAAAAAGGACCATAGAAGCCAAGCCAGAACCAACTCCAGTCCCATTAACCAAAGCTAGACCCTCCTTTGGCTGCAACTCAAAAAACCCACAATGAATTCCTGCTAGGCGGAAGGCTTCTGGAGCATCAAGGAGTTCTCCATTCGGACCAACAGCAGTAGAGTTTGGGCGCCCTGTCAGGAGCCCGGCGATATAGGAGAAGGGGACCAAATCACCAGAGGCGGAAATGGAGCCCCTGAGAGGCAAGCAAGGTGTGACGTTGTGGTTTAGTAGCTTTGTTATGGCTTCTAGGATCTCAAACCTGATGCCTGAGTAGCCCTGGAGGAGTGTATTGATTCTCACAAGCATTGCTGCCCTTGTTGCGGTGTGTGGCAATGACTGGCAAGATTCTGTCCCATTACCAAAGATCCCAGCATTCAAGAATCTGCTCAAAACAATTTCCAAATAGTAGTATTAATTAGACCAAGAATTTCCATAAATAAAATGATAATTGAAATTAGCTAGAAATTTTGTTACTAATGTTAATCCGTACTATTTCCACAAGCAATTCACAAAATCTCACTTGTCACTCATTATTAATTAATGAACAGGGATACACTCATGAATAAATTTTATATATCACATTTATATAAAATTTTAATTATTTATTTCTTCATTTTTAATTATTGAAATTTATTATGACTTTTTAGGTAAAAAAAGTTATTTTTAATAAATATAAATAAATTTTAATTATTGAAAGTAGAAAGATGAATAGTTGAGATTTTGTGTAAGTGTAGTGTGTAAGACTTGTGTTTAAGTGGATTGTTACTTTTAATAAATATTAACTTTTTCAATAAGAAAATGATTAGTATATTCTTTGGTCTGATATAGTTTTCAACAATTACTTAGTTTAGTTATTAAAATATAAAATAATTATAATCAAGTTAATTGGTTTCTATATGCTGTATGTATAGTTGCATTTTTTAATTTATATGCCTTCAATTTCAAATAAAGAAATAATAATTTTTTAATAAATATATTATGTAATACGATAAACTGGAATCAATATCAATCAATAACTTTTCCACTATACTAAATTTATAAGATTCAGTTAATTGTGAACTATTATGTAAAATTGGGAAATTTTGTTAAAAAAACAATATTTCATGTAATAATAAAATTACCATAATTTTATAAAACTAATGTTTTAAAAGATAAATTGTACATTAAAAATATAGTTTATTTTATAAAATTTTAAAATATTTTTAATAAAATAATATAAAAAATAATTTTATTAAAAATATTTTGATAAATTTGTAAAACAAAGTATACTTTTGATATATAATTTATTTTATAAAATACTTTTTTATAATTTTATTAGTAGTAAATATTTTAAAACCAAGATGTTGTTTCATAATTTGTCAAAACAGTTAATCATTAATAAAAAGATGAGATAATTAATGATTAATAAAAAAGAGAGATCTAAACCAACCCTTTAAATTTAATAATTTATTTTTAAATTTTAATATTTAAAATTAATTAATTAAAAATTTCATTTTTACCAACTACCTAAATATTTTTCCCTCATAATTCCTCATGTCTAAAAATATAATAATAATAAAGAGGTGAGATCCTCAATAATTAAGTGATGTGCACAACTTGTGACTTTTGTGTTTTGAAAGATTCATCACAGCTAAACATGCAAGAATGGTGCTTCTGCAATAAATTATTTCGATATAAATACATAGTACCCTGGTGGACTGCATGTCAAATTTGAAAATGTCTTCTTTGTCATTTTTGTTCCATCAAAGTAAAAAATGCAATTGACCCCGCCGTCCCCTTCTAAGTATTTATATTCGGGGTTGATTTAAATCGTACAATGTTCTATTCTTTTAACTCTAGCACTGAAGGACATGCATGCTCTATTTCTAAATTCTCTGAAATTCTGACCTGCAACATGCATGCTCCACCCTTTTTATAATTATGACCCAAAATTTATTTACAACCAAAAGAGAGCTATGTGGCTGTTTAATTTTACCTGACAAACAACTTTTAAACTTACCCTTTTATCCATGTTATTAATTCAGCCACTTGCCATGGAACTAAATTACTACTTAATTATTATACTCATACCATCAGTAACATCTAAAACAGCTCGTATTAACAATAATAAAACCGTAAAAACAAAAAACACTAAATACATGTTTTTGACTTTTGTAAAAGGATTTTATTTTATTTTTGTAATTACTTTTTTTAAAAGTTGATTTTACCTACGACAAAAATTGAAGCTTAACAATCTATTTGGATGGGAAAGAAAGTGAGAGGAGATGTCTCTTTCTCTTGTTTGATTTAATAATTTTAATAAAGGAGGAAGGAGATGGAGGAAAATAAAATTTTCTTTTGTTTGTTTTCAATTCTTTTAATTTGAAAGATTGTGAAGAATTGTATTGATTCATTTTTAAAATTTTTTAAAAATAAATATATAAATGTTTTATTTTAATTATTTATTTAATTAATAAATTTTAATATTTTATTTTATTTTTTAAAAATTATTTAATTAAATAAAAATATTTTTTTTTTCTACTTTTATTTACCTAAACAAAACTAACATCAATCTTTTGTCTATCTTTTACTCTCTTCTACTTTTTTTTCCTTTCCAAACGCTAAGTTTGACATTAAAACTTTTTAAAAAGAGATTTTCCTTACAATAAATGCTTTTTAATTTTTTTTTTTATTTCTTAAAAACATCAATATGCCGTCTAGAGTTGAAAAAGACAAGCTTTTCCCAAAAATGAAAAAAAAGAGTTAAAGAAGACAAAAATACTGTATAATCAATAACCAACACAACTTATTTATCCTAATCAAGATATTAAGATAAAACAAAATTACTTGAAGAGAAAGAGGTTTTCCAGGGACATAGCAGGGTCAATTTGTATTGTATTCATTTTATTTTATTTTTATACTTATTTTGAGTATATAACTATTGTTGTGAGGACTTAATTAAAAAAATTACTGCTAATGTTACCCAACTTGGTTGCCAAGAAACCTTTATCCTTAATTTAATTACCTAATTAACTCCTTTTGCAGTGCAGCTCCCTGTTTGGTCCTCCGGTGCGACGTTGCACCAAAGCCGGTGGTGACGCCATAGCTATCCGTCCCCTTCGCCATGCCCTCTATAACCCAGTCACTGCTAGCCTTCACGCCACCCCTAGCCGCCTCACAGAGCTCAACCGCCACCTTGTTATCCCGAGTGGCCACCGCCGCCACTTGAGCCACAGTCAGAGTCTCGCCACCTAGTCTCACCAACGGCTTCCGATACTCTGCAACCATTCTCTTCACTTCATCCAAATGGCTACCCTTCATGGACTCCGCCACAACGGCCCAGTTCAACGGGTCCGCCCCCACCGCCGACATGCACAGACTTCCATTTCCATTCTCATATGACACTTCCATTGTTTTTTCTTCCCAAAAAAAAAAACAAAAAAGAATACTATTAGAAATCAAACTGAAGAGAAAACAGACAGGGGAAGTGAAAGGGTACAGAAACCAAACAGATCTTGATTGTCTGGCTGTTTGGTTTCCGTGAAAGGGTGGGAAAGTTTATTTGGGTTTTAGTTCAGCAGTTGATGATGAGAGAAATTTAAATAGAAGAATGACAAACGTAAGAGGTGAGTTGAGGGTGTTAGTTGAAACTTGAAAGGCAACGCTGACCGTTTGATGTTCATGTGATCTCACGGTAATGAATAGCGATACGTGGAGAGAACAAACTGAAAGTGCTAGACGCCATTTTTACCCGTCAAATTGGAGGGGTTGGTGGGGTGTATGGTGCACAATCACGAGCACACCCTCCAACCCCACTAGCTTCCTTCCCTTAAAGTGGTTGAATTTCATCGGCGGTCTTCAATCGTTTGATTATGGTCCAATTAAGTTCCTAAATATTTCATGGTTGTAAGTAGATCAAAATGATCGCTTCCCTTTCATTCATGCTTTCATTAATTAATTTGAGTTTAATTACCTACCCTATAAGCTCCTACATATGTGCATTTATTAACTCTTAAAGATTATTTACTTAAAAATAATTGCAATATATTTACAAAAGTAAATAAATTTTTTAGTCCTTTGTATTTTTTTTTATTAGCAGCGTTGTTGTTTTTTTTTTTTTTTTTTTTTTTTTTTTTGTATTATAACATAAAACAAACAACACAGATATATAATTATAGAGTTTGTTTGACTATTTTAGAGTTTAATGTAGCCTTCTATGTAAAGTTGGGTATTTAAAAAAAGAACTAATGCCATATATTTAAGGCATTATTATTAAAAAAAATATTAGAAAATAAAAAAAGTAAAAAAAATTAAGACCTATCACCAGAGTAAATTTTTTTTCCAGCAAATTAGTGTGGTTTAGAGGCAAAGGGCGGAGAAATTGAGAATAAATCAAAAAAAGAAGGGAGTATCTCAAATCCTAGTTTTAACCATTTGATGTCCATAACAAATAAACAACAAATACACGCAAAAACAACTAATTTATACCATAAAAAATAAAGGTTTCAAACGAAGTTTCTTTTATTTAAACCAAAACCAATCACCCTTGCCTACCATCAATCCAAACAATTGAAAAATAACTTCGATAAAATGTATAATAATATGGTATGCAATTGAGAAGCAATAAGAGAGAGAGAGAGCAAAATCTAGTTCTAGAACTAGAACCCTCTTTTTTCTCCATCATCTTTTTCTCTTTCTTTTTCTTAACAGGGTGAAAGAGTTAATTATTATTGATTTACATAAAAAATTATATTAAAAAATTATACGATAAAAGTTATCTTTTTAACGACAGTTAACTTTAATCAATTGATTAATACTCCAATTTGGTCCCTATGCTTTCGAGAGATGCTACTTTTTGGTCCCTTAAATAATTGAGGGCTTTTATGCCATTGTCAATGAGTTTGAGTAGCTGTTTACTTGCGAAATGGATACAGGTCCCTGAGGAGCTAAATCTATCGCCGATTGTAAAGTTCAGATTTTTATTATTTTTTTTTTGTTATGCATAATTTACCATAAGTATAATTTGAATAAGGATGTCAATAATTTAAACAATTTAGTAATTATTTTTTTTAAAAAAATAAAAACTTTTAAACTTGAGTTACATAATATATAAATAAAGTGAGATAAAAAATGAGATATTGTGACTTTTCATTATACAATTAAGGTAAAAAAAAATTGAATTGGAATTTTTTGTTTTTTTTAAGGAAAAAAAAAAACCTTAGGCTATCAGGGGCGTTCAAGAGGTTAAAGACCAACTTGAAGTGACACTGAAAGCTTAAGGAGTACGGACGTATCATCAGTGGATCTTTACATGATTTATTTGGTATATCAATTAAAATTTAATGGACAACAAATAATGGAAAGCAGCAAGTTGTTAGTGGATAATTATAAGTAGATAATAAATAGCATATGGTAGATGATAAATAATATAATAATTAATAACTAATATAATTATTTGATTATATAATAATTAATAATTAATATTTAAAATAAAATGATTAATAAAAATATATTTAAAAATAATTAAGTGTTTTTTTATATTTTTTATTATTAAAATTATTACTTTTATAAAATAAATAAATAAATAATTGTGTAATCATACACTAATTTTTATTTTTAATAAAGAAAAAATTATATTAATTTTAAATAAAGTATAAAAAATTTTAATCTTTTCATGTAATTAATAAAATTTATTTATTAAACTGATATTTTTTTTTAAAATAAATTGATGTAAAAAATATAATAATTACTTAATATTATTAAAGATAAAAAATAAAGTTAAAATTAATTAGATAAATATTAATTAAAAACTATAAAAGAATTAAAAATTTAAAAAGATAAATTTGTTAATAAAATTAAAAAATTCTAATTCATTAGTAATTTAATACAAAAAGTTTATTAAATAGCTTTTTCAATTTGTTAATAGTTTGAACTCTAATCATTATCCCTTAATCTCAAATCACTAAACAAAAAGTTTTTCTAATCATCTAGTTTGTAATGGTTTCAAAATAAATAAATTTATCAAATACATATTTTTAATAATTTAGATAAAATTATTAACCATTACTTTCAAACCGTTATATTAAACGAGCAGCTATAATGAAGAAGATAAGGTTAATTTGTCAAAGACAGCTGTTGGGGTGTTTTTGATTCAGGGTATTTGTAACCATTGGCTTAGGAGAAAGATATTCATTAGATCCCTTTCAAGTACCATTGCACCAAGCCAAATTTATTTGTGGATAAAGATTAGGACGAATTCAATGAAGATTGGCTAGGTCCCAAAGCAAGCAAAGGGATTACTATTTAAAGCGTGTTGGGGTTGGTGTTGAATTCCTAATTTCAGCAAACCACTCAACCAGCAAAACGTGCTTCCCTTTTTCCAAATTAATTTCAAAGCTAAGGTTCCTCCACTCCTCTAGCAGCTTTCTTCTTCTTCAATTTTTTTTAGCTATATCATGTTTGAATATATATTAATTGAATAATTGGGTAAAGATGTTAGATAACAATGATTTTTTTCTTCAATACCAAACCATGCATGGTACCTTTGTTGGTATGTTAATTATTAGGAATTCTGATCAGTTAGATAGCCTACCGGTTTTGGTCAGTGGAATATAGTGGAAAGTTAGGGTTAGTGTGGTAAATAGAAAATAATTTTTAGAAATTTTTTTTTACATTTTTTGGTGTTTGAAAAGTTAATAAAAAATAAGTTAAAGGAAAACTAGTGAAGTCAATGAAAAATCACATAAAAAAACTCGAAAAATAATTCCGGATTTTCATTTTGAAAGTTGTTTTTCGTGAAAACATACTGATTATTTAGATTTGTTTTTACTTTTTTAACCCACTATTTAAACTGTACGTCAATCCGTTTCTTCCATGCGAATCCAACTTTGTTTGCTGGAATAGTTGACCACCAAAGCTTTTTGCCGTGAAACCATTCCCCACCTCCATCTCTCAATAATTATCTTGAAATAATTAAATGTAAAGAAATAAGGGTAGAGTTAAACGTGAGTGATATATATTTACAATAAAATTAAATATTACAGTGTAAAATATAATTAAAATCACATTTATTAATATAAAGTCATTTTTCATGAACCAACAGGACTCTTAAAGAAGATTTAGTCTTTCTTATTTGGATCATGATTAGTGCACACCCAGATCTAATACCCGAGTGTGCACCTCCCATATAAAAAAAAAAAATGACCGGGTGATGGGTATTTTTTTTTTTTATATGATGTGTGCATACCCGGGTGTGCACACATCATTTTCCTTATTTATTGTCACATAGCTTGGAACGTTTGGAAGACAAGAAACAACTTGATTTTTAATGGTGTTGAAGATTCCGTAGGTATTTGAAGCAATTCAGGTTAATTAGATTAGATAATTTTTGTGGCTAGCTAAAGGGGAAAGCTACAGGTTGCATATTTTCTCCATATGATTATGGTACTGTAGTAATCCCAAAACTTTACTGAAGGTATTGAATTTTAGTTCTGATATTGAGATAGATAGAGAAGCTTTCATGTTACAAAATTTAGCAATTTAGTTTGATATTAGGGTTAGATTACTTCTTATATATAACTATTAGGGAAAAAAAAAGTACTATTCTTATAATTTGTATTAATAAAATTTTTGTTAGAAAAAAAAAAAAAAGAATAGCCTGCTGGTTTTTAAACTTTTAATTTAGGAACATAATAATAATATAGATAATTGACAATAATTGATATACACTTTAATTTAATATATTATTAACATATTTATTAAAAAATTATTATTTTTAACCTAAAATTAAAAACATATAAATTTAAAAATACAACTATGAACATAAGATATAAAACTTAGTTGAATCAGTTATATTTTATTATATTTTTAATTATTAAACTAAATATGTGTAAAAAAATATATGGAATTGAGTATACATTAATTATTTTCTTAAAAGAAAATGTTAGTAAATTGGATAAGTGGTCGACCAGACGGACGAGGTAAGAGACAATTTGGACTAACCCCACTAAATTAAATGCATTTGATTTGGACTGTCTTTCATGCATATAGCTACAAGTCATTTAAGTTAACATGCACTTGAACAACTGAACCTACCCATACGCACATGTAATTTAGCTTACCTAACCCCCTATCTCTTGACCTGCAGAAACTTACACGGTTTCTCTTATATTATATATACATATATCAACATACACAATTTCTCTTATATATACATGTATCAACATTACTTTGTAATGTACATTACTTTTATGGTATATAAATAAAGGTAAATGATATAATTATAATAGTATGTAAGATTGAAAATTTATAATAATCATATAATATTAAATAAGTGAATATATGCAATTACATATAATTTCAGTGAGATAATTAATTATATAATAACACAATATAATTATAACTTTTAATGCCATGCGTATATAACATTATTACTATAACTTTTTCTTGAGAAATGAGACAAATAAGGATGTGAACTTCGCACTTTTATTTATTTAAGAATGTTAACTTTATTAGTTTTCAAATAAAAATATCAACTTTTAACTTTTTCTATTTAAGGATGTCAACTTTTAA